GTCTATCTCTGGTCTATCTCTGGTCTATCTCTGGTCTATCTCTGATCCATCACTGGTCCATCACTGGTCTATCGCTGGTCTATCGCTAGTGTATTACTGGTCTTTCTCTGGTCTATTACTGATCTATCTCTGGTATATCTCTGTTCTAACTCTAGTCTATCTCTGGTTTATCTCTAGTCTATCTCTGGTTTATCTCTGGTTTATCACTGGGCCTATCCGCTCAAACATAAGTCAAGACCTTCAATCTACAGGCTGGTATTTACTGACTCCCCCACAGGGGGGAGATGTGGTCACATTCACAGTGAATGTGACCACATCTCCCCCTTGGGGATTCATTCATTCATTCATTCATTCATTCATTCATTCATATTGCTTTTTCAACCTCCCAAATAAGTCATCCTGAGAGGTGTGTGTGACCATGAAGAAAACTATTTCTGTTTGTAAAATGTTTTTAACAAGACTACTTTATAGAATTTCAAAAGGTCACAAAGAAAACATCTGACCACCTTTTCCTAGATACACAGTTCTCATATTATGAGTTTTAAATGGAATTTATTTCTCAGACTAAGTATTTATCAAGTGAAATAGGAGACATTTTGTTTGTTTGAAGCCGAGCTTCAGCAGTAAACTTAAAAGTTTTGGTAACACTTTATTTGAAGGGGGTTGAATAAGACTGTCATGACACTGTCATGAACATGAATAAGCCTTCATGAATATTTATGACTGTTGTCATAAAGCGTCATTCGGTAAATTATGACACTTTTAATACAAAGTTGACATTATTCAAAGTGTCTTTGTTATGACAACTTGACATTAACCAATAAATCATTACTGTTTAAACTTTACCTTTAATAACATAAAGTTACCTAATTTTTAAAGTGCAGTCAGTAATTATTTTATAACAAATTTATATCAGCAATGATTTCTTGGTTAATGTCAAGTTGTCATAACAAAGACATTTTGAATAATGTCAACTTTGTATTAAAAGTGTCATAATTTACCGAATGACGCTTTATGACAACAGTCATAAATATTCATGAAGGCTCATTCATGTTCATGACATGTGTTATGTCATGTTTATGACAGTGTCATGTCAGTCTTTTTCAACCCCCTTCAAATAAAGTGTTACCAAAGTTTTCTATAGTTGGAATATTTTAATGTTGAAGGCAGAATGTAAAAATTTCCTCCCTACACAGATTAAAAAGTCACCTATTTTTAAATGTGAAGGTAACAGTCTGAGAAATATCACTGAGGTATCATGGTAAAATAATCTATGGTATTAACAATACCATAGATTAACAACAAATGACTTCTGGAGATCGGCACCACCCCTCCACATTCCTTATTATGATTAAAAAAATGTAGAAATTACTTAGATGGATGAATTTTTTATTCATTAAGTGGATAATTTTTAAATGACAGTTTTCAGTGTTTTTCTTGTGTTATTCCTGTTTTACCTCTGCGTTCTTGTTTCCAGTATAAACCTGATCACAGGTGTTCTTGAAGAGGAGCAGCCCAACCCAATGGAGGGAATGACAGATGAGCAGAAGGAATACGAGGCCATGAAGCTGGTCAACATGTTTGACAGACTGTCAAGGTCACACACCGCTACTCTTCAGAACATTTGTATCTATCAGATAATCTCACTAGTCATATTATTAGGTACACCTTGCTCATGGGTGGTTCTACACAGTGGCTAACAGGTGCCAGTATTCCTGTTATGAAGACATAATGCTTAATCAGTTTCCTATGATAAAATGTGCTGGCACACAAACCATAATTCATTAGTCCAATCAATTAATTTTGGATCAGTTTCAAGCCACTTCTTACCTTCACAGTTTTACTTTAGCAATGAAGGTGCTGTACTTTTTAGCTTCAGCTAAAAAGTACATTTGATGAACAAGTTTAGGATTACAGTTTTCATCTGTTAGGTCAGAGGTCAGAAACCTGCAGCTCCAGAGCTACAAGTGGCTCTTTAGCTTTGTGGCTCACCTAATATATTAAACAAAGAAATATTGCCCTTTCTCTATTTATTTTTTTTTGTTTCATTCCTTTGTTTGTTTTGTGTCATCATCAGAAAACATTGATCCCACCTTTGGTCCATTCTAGACCTAATTTATCAGAGGGCTCCCTGGTAAACTGGGTCTAGAACAGGGGTGGGCAGTCCTGGTCCTGCAGGGCTGGTGTCCTGCAACTTTTAGATGTCTCTCTGGTCCAACACACTTGAATCCAACAGCTGAATCACCTCCTAAGTGCAGTCAAGTTCTCCAGAGTCCTGCTAATGACCTCATTATTTGACTCAGGTGTGTTGAAGTAGAGATGCAGCTAAAAGTTGTAGGAGACCGGCCCTCAAGGCCTGGAGTTGCCCACCCCTGGTCTAGAATGAACCAAATTCCTGCTTGGACCCTTTTGCCTTCAGAACTGCCTTAGTGGCATTGGCTGGCTTTAGATCTGTTTACTGTTGGAGTAGTGACCTCATCGTCATGTTCCAGAAACCAGCTTGAAGCGATTTGCGCTTTGACACATGGTGTGGTATCCTGTTTGAATTGGGCAACAGAGTAGGGTTCTCTGTGGTCATACAGGGATGGATATGGTCAGCAACACTACTCTGGTAGGCTGTGATGTTTATCAGCAATGCTCTTGGTACTAAGAGACTTAATATTCTTTTCCAAGAATAAATCCCCCACACCATTACACCACTACCACCAGGTTGAATTGTGAATACAGGGAGCGATGGATCCAGGCTTTTATGGGTTAGGGGAGGACATGTTTAGAAGAAGAGTGGCATTCTGCGCGGTCTTGTCCATCTTCTGCTTCTGGGTCTGATGTGCTCTGTGTTGTGCATACCCTGGTTGTAGCAAGTTGTTATTTGATCTCCTGTTATCTTTCTGTCATCTCTTCCCAATGACCAGATCAATAGTTTCTGAATCCGGAAACCAGCCTGTTAGGCACCAACAGCCGTGCCATGTTCAAAGTCACTTAAATTCACTTTCTTTCTCCATCTGATGATCACTTGGAACTTCAGAAAGCCATATTCACTTTGTCTAGATGGCTAGTAACCATGTAATTGGCTGAATCGCTCTTTGTATCAACAAACAATTAATCGTGTACTTAAAGTGGTGGGTGCATTTCTATGGAGCATTGTCCTGTTAATAGCCATAAACTATTTACACTAGAAAAGATAAATGAGAAAGTACACAAAACTGAGATACTGTCTTGAACAGCTGCCATTTTTGAACAGCTAACACATGTGCTAACACACATTAAAAGTGTGTTAGGTCTATGCTAACACACGTGTCTTGCTTTGTATAGGACCAATTTGATCCAGCCCATGCAGCTTAATTCAGATGGGAAGATGAGAGAGATGACCACGGAGGATCTGAATAAACTGGCCACCAATCCATTGTTCCAGTCACAAGAGCCAGCTGATCCAGACAGCGAGGATGAAACCTAGTTAACACACAAACATGACAGCAGGTTGAACCAGCTTTCAACCTTTGTGACAACACTGCAGAAAATGATGATATCATACAACGTTTACCATGCTGGTCCACTTAATTTGATTGGAAGACAGATAAAAACATTTGGCATTAATTTAGCAAACATAAGAATGCAGCATGGAGTGTACAGGAGGAAGTGACTGTACATCAGGATAATCCTGCTTCTGGAAAATGCTTTGATCTTGATGAAATCTCTTGTTCACAGAGAAGCATTTTACACAATGCAATTCTTTTTACCAGACAATGTATGATCTTACTTTTAGAGAAAATGTATTTAAAAAAAATGCCATTTAGTTTTTGATGTGAGAGTCAGCTTTATTTTTGAAATGGAATTGAATAAAAATAGGTGGATGTTATTTTTCATGACGCCCCATAAATGTTTTATTTTCAGAAGTGAAAGACCATTTACTGATGAATATGTTTCTGTGTTAGACTTTAATTGACATATTAAGATATGAATATAATCCAAGAAAATCTCTGTTTGCTTCTTTGTACTGTAGTTGAATTTTGGACTGTAAAGTACACTTAATGCATCTCAATAAACTCTCTGTCACTGGTATTTAGAAGCTGCTTGTTTTTCCCTTAAATGACCATTAGTTGTCTGAAAGTGAAACTGGGATACAAAGAAGACATGATGTTGGATTTATGAAGTATCCTCCAAGCTTAAGGTTGCCAGAACGACTATGGATGGAAATATACAGATCTTAGCCCAGAGCATAATGACTTTGTTTCATTCTTTCATTCTTTCTTTACACCAGTAATTAGAGATGTAACAGTACATATATTTTTTACCAAAATTACCCAGTACAACCCTGTTGGCTTGGTACAACAATATACCAAATGAGTACATTGTTGTCTTATACCTGAACACCTGCAGAATGTTTATGTTCAGAACCAACTTTAAACAGTGACACCAAAACAGAGAGGTGTTTTAATGATCACTAAACTCTGACATTTGGGAACATTGAGGCTCCTCATCCCGCTACAGCAGAGAAAGCAAGTGGACAAAAACAACTTTGTCAGGGTAGGGATTTTTCACCATCAGTATGCCACGTAGCTTGGTTTGCGCTATGCTGAACTACTCACCTTAAACAACCTCGAGCAGAAGTTCTTTAATGGCCACTTTTTATTTGTTTCTCTTGATTGAAGCAAACAGAAAATGTGCCAAACCATGATTATTTGTACAGTTACCCCTGTAATTAGAGATAATTTCTCCAGTGGTAATTCTTTAACTCTAAACTTTAGAAAAACAACCTCCACAGTTTTATTTATTTAAATATTTTATCTATGAATATATTCACACAAACATGCTTAGCTCAATATGGCTTATAAATGATAGTCCTTGGAGTGGATGTTGGGATCCATGTGAGTGTTTTTGTTTTGGTTTGTGAATATGTGGCGTCTCCTGACAGAGGATCTTCACATTCTTACCTTAATATTTAAATTTTGTTTCTGAGCCTGATTTCCACATGTGGGTCAGGAAGCTATTGGAGATCATGTCAGTGGTTTTACATAGTTTCCTCCCTTCTGTCACAGTGGTTTTACTCAAATCTCATACTTATTTTAAACTACTGTGTTTTCTGTCTCACTGGGTTGATAACCCAGAGCATGGGCCAACTTGCTCTGGTCATTAATTTGTCAGCCTATCTTATTATGTCCAGGAGCACTGTCACAAGAAATGCTACATGCCACCATTCCTAAAAGTCCCCTGGAACGTCCCCCAGAGCCTGACAATTAAGTTGTCCACTATTCTCACAGAATACTGAGTTAATCTCAAGCGAGATTTCAACAAAAAGTTAACTGTCTCTTTACCACCTCATTGTCCCCAAGATTGCACCATGCAGCTCCTTCCTGGTGCCCCTGGTTCTGTTGCTCTGGATTCCATCTTGCAACACTGTTCCACTGTGACAGGCTGCTGGAAACGAAACCAACATCATCAGAACCCCTCACCCGTTCTCATCTTCACTTCTCTCCAGATCACCATATTCACCATCAGCGGTGTGAGCAACCCATCTCCTTCCTCTGCTCACATAATTGTTATAATTCTGCATACCTGAATTAATCACTCACCTCTTCCCCCACACCGGTTTCGCTTGCCTGCTGCTGCTCCACAGTTCTAGGTTCAATATGAGCTATTTTCACTTACCTCATCCATGTGGCTGTAATTGTGGCTTGCATCAGGGTCAAACTGGGGAATCATGACTCTGGATAAACTAAAATAACACTATTTATGAAATAAATACCGTATTTTCTGGACTATAAGCCGCACCCCAAAGTGTTTTTAAAAAACAGTAAACATATACAATATAAGCCTCACATATCTCTGCTGCTCCAGGTTTTCCACAGCGATGCAGCAGCAGCAGCAGAGGGGCGGACACCCAACATTTGAGTCACAACAGGTCAATTGAATATCACATTTCTTACGGTTGAAAAAGAAAAAGTTGCCAAGTTTAGATTTAACTGAACTGATTACGGTAGTTTCCAAACGGTAACTGTAACAGTAAAAGTGCTGATCCTTCGTGTCTGCCACTAGCATATGCTAAATGAAAATGGGCGCCTTCTTCTTCTTCTTCTTTAGATTTCAACTTCAGCTTGCATCCATTATTATTGCACTACTGCCATCTATTGGATCCTAATATCTATTCCTCAAATTCTCATAATGATCCCAGTATTATTTTAAAAAACTGAAAAATCTTCATCCACTCAATGCTATTTAACTGAACAACAACATTCTTAAATTTCAATTCCCTACTAAAACCTAATTCCGTTTTAATGGGCGCTTTCTTCTTATATGTCCAATTTTGACTTCCAATGATTCACTTCCTGCTAAAGAGCCCCCTGGTGGTTGAAGAAAATCCACATATAAGCCCCACTGGGCTTCATCAGCAGCATGCAGCTTTATAAGACGCATGATTCAAAGCTTAGGAAGAAAGTAGCGGCTTATAGTCCAGAAAATATGGTATATGAAAAAAAAATCTAAATGCTCTCTGGTATTGTTCAGGGGGCCGGACCAAATGTGGAGGCGGGCCGGATCTGGCCTGCGGGCCATAGTTTGGGGACCACTGCTTTAGCTTCTCATTAGATTATTAGTAACAAAAAATGGCAGAAACACCACAATAATGGCAATAAAATGAAGTGGAACACATGTCAATACTTTTTATTATTATTTGATAAGTATAGGCATAGATTTACACTCTGTTCAAACTAATTTGACTTATGCAGTTTTGTAAATATTCTGTACGTGCAAGTTAAAGAGAACATAACAGTTCAGAAAAATCCCACGTCGTTCCTCACACGAACGACGTGTGTTGGTATGTGAGATACCAACACCACAATGTGGTGTTGGTATCTCACATAGCATCAGATGACACATAAAGACCTGGTGAACTACTGAGCTGGTGAAAAATCCCCCCTCATAAAATAATGACAATATGACTGGTGACAAAAATAAATCACAAATCTGACACCATTTATGTAAAAATGTGTTCCCATATAGGAACTGTACCAGGAACTTTCTTAGATTCTTTTGACTTTGAAGGAAATTACATAATGTAATCAACTTTTAACAACTGTTGCAAGCAATTTAATGCCTTCTCTTGAGACTGATGATTCAATCAAAAATTGATGGCACATATCAAACCTGGTCATCTCTACAACTAATTTGTTCCTTGTGCCTGACCTTTAATCAGTCTTTGTTCCTCATAAGTCATGTGTCTTCTGATGCCCTAAACTTGACCATCCTAATGTAATATTATGAATCATAAACATAGAGACTTGTATTGCTTACTTGTGGGTCTCTGAGGAGAGACGGTATTCAAGAATATCAACAGAAGGCAAAGGAGGACTTGAGGAGTTTCTAGCAGTGTCCCAATGATCACTATCAAACTTCGAGCATTTTTTTTTGTCCATTATGAATCTGTTGTGCAAGTGCTGGAGCATAATTGTATTAAGTTTTGAAATGCTCACATGTTTTAAAAATAGAGTTTTATTTGTTTAAAACAATATTTTATAAGTGTTTGCCTGAACTTAGCCTTTAGCTTTTTATGTATGGTTCTGCTGTGCAGACATAAGAAGCCCTACATTCGAAAAGGTAACTGTCTCAATGTCTTGTTTTAGAGCTAACAGCTAAATAAAAAAATAAATTTTAAAACAACTCCATTCTCTACATGTCTATGCGTTCTGTGTGAGCCTGTTGTGAGCATGTTCTTGTGAATTCATTTTTTGTTTTGGGGATCTTTGAATTTAACGATGCTGTTTTCCTCCAAGATGAAGATGAATGGTGAGCATTGCTCTTTTTGCGATATGAAATCTATTAAGAGAAAACCGAGAGACATTTCAAACCAATGTTTGATACTTCATGTAGAAAAGAGTTGCAACATTCCTTCATAGGCAAACTCTTGGTGACTTTAGGCAGTTAAACAGCACATTAGTCTTCAGCCGGAGCCACTATGGATAATGTCTGCCTTTCCCTTCACTCTTACATTGACTACAGCACCTGCTTTCTCAGCTTAAACTTAACATCAGCTGCAGGCTCATGCTCCAGCCACACTGTGTTGTGTTTTCAGTTCAACTCTGTGATTAGCATGCACACAGAGTGTAGGTTTGCATTTACAAAACACCAACTGAGTAATAAGGCTTCAGCTTAATGTACTCTGTCACTTTTACCTTTCCTCTTTGACTATTATGTTTAACAGAACCATGATTAAATAAGCTTATCAGGAATAAAGTGCTATTGAAGTCATAATCAAAACAATTATCTTACATTTTGCTCCTTTTAGTAAGAAAGTTTCTTTTTCACAACTAAAGCAATAAAACAGGTGAAAGTGAGATTTACTCTGCAACATGGTCTTGATGCAGAGTCTATACAACAAATACTAAAGAAGTCAAATGGCACATTAGAATAATAACACAAAGTCAAATAAACATATTTGTATCAAAAAGAAGTATGAACACAAACGTTCATTGTTCACTTCATCTTAGGACTGTTATTTGTTCAGAATATATTGGTAGTAAGCAATGTACATGAATAATTTCTGTTCTAATCAATGTGAAGTGAACTTGGAACTAATTCTCATGAAGGATGAATTTCCGCATGACTGTCAATGTTCAGGTCTGCTGACAAAGAGCTTTTATACAAACACAGAACTGTGAAACAGCAGGTGGAATGTAGCTATTCTGTGTTCAGAACATTCATTATTTTAAACTTTTCTTTCTCCAATTAATAGTTTTACAAGATTATTGTTAAACTTGCCCTCACTGTTTCTTAGTTCTTCATACAGGTTGTCGTATCAAAAATATATGTAGTTTATTTTTAGAAAGCTTTGTAGAAGTCTATTCCAAACTAAATGCTGGTTCAAAACATTGAGAAAAAAAAGCCTGAATCTCTAGTTTATTAACATTGTTGAGACTGGAGTTGTTTTAACATAGCAAAATAAGAGAAAATAAAAATAATAATAATGAAAAATAAATAAATAAAAACAGTAGCAATAGTTTGAAAACTATTCTTTGTTTCATCTGAGATAATAAGGAGTTATTTACTGCAGCCAATATTCTGATGGGTCATAATCATAATTCCCTGAACTATTCCATTGAAAAAAAATTTGCATAACAAAGGCAGTTCTTCAGCACTTTAGTTTTATGGGATTCCTGGTTAAATGCAGCTAGTACAGCAACCTGCTCATTTCCAGAAGATTAAAAACTAAAAGCAAACAAAATAATATAACCATCAAGTTCACCATAGGCATTGAAGCTTACTTTCAAATGTACAACAAGAAAGTGTGGGTAAAATGTGTAAATAAATATTTTTGACATATGCTGAAATGTTGAAACACAAATATGTTGAATGAGTCTTAACTCCGTAAAAATCCATATTTAATGTTGTTAAAGGTCAGGTGACATAAAACCCAACATGCTAGTGGTTAAAAACTAGTTTGATAACAACATAATAATAATAAAAAAAATATCTTATGTCAGGAGACAACCTGTCAGCAGCACCAACCCATTCAGTAGATACTCATTGGTGCATGCTAGCTAACTCCAGCTAACAGTTTGGCCTTTTGGTGAGAACAAGCAAAGACCGCACAAATCAAATCAGCATAAACTGGATTTCAATAACAGAAATGAACATAATCTATGTTAGATTCATCCCTCCAGCCAAAAACATGCAAGAAGTTTATTCACCCCACGAATTAACTTGCCCACTCTATGATGGGAAACACAATGATGCTGTTGAAAAACAAAAACAAAAGAGTAGGACATTCACATTACATGAGATTCCTACCTGCGTACTTCCTGACGTCAGTGATGTGACAGAGCTCTTCTAGGTCAGACTGTTGTGTGCATCAGTCAAACAGACAGGGCTCACTTCTGAGCTCTGCTGGCTCGGCCATCTTTGTGTGCTGTGGGGAAAGTGCCTCTCCTTTCCCTTGTGGGTTATTACCCTGATCCAATGCGACAAATCTGTTTTTCTGGGAGGACGGGCTTATGCGGGATATCTCTGTGGATTTAGAGCCAACTGGCAACGTGTTGTGGACTTTTTCTTGCAATGGTGAGGAAGCTGAGATTCTGGTTGGACTCTTTCTCTTAGATGCAAGGTTTACAGGTAACTTTTCCACTTTCCTGGGTAGTATGGGAGGTCTCTCTATCACAGTAAAAGTCTTGTCAGATGCACTGCATCTGGGTACTTCTACCTCTTGTGAAAGTAGCTGCTTGGTTGGAGGCACTGTATCTCCACAGCTTGCTTGTCCTCTCTCTGCCTCTTGTTCATCCATCTGACTCTTGACCTTCTTTTCATCATCTGGCTTGTTTGCTGTGGGGATGAACACCAGGCACACAGATGAAAACATTAAATGACTGATGAGAAGAAAAACAAACAAAAACGGCTCATCAACTGTACCATGTGCTTCATCTTCTTTGCAGGAGGGCAGATCCCAGCGGTTGCCCCGGAAACGGATGGGTGACTTCTGTAATACAGCCTTGAGTTCTAAAAGACATCAAAATTCAAAGTTAATTTTTGATGTAATTACCATGGAATGTAAAACAAGGATATAATATTTATGTTATGAAAACCATAACTCTACCTTGCGTCATGGTCAGTGCCTCCTCATGGACAGATACAGCTCTACGCTGTGGGAGGGGCTTCAAGTGTTGGCGTAGCTTAGGAAGACTCTCTGAAAAAACACAACAATAAAAACCATCCAAAAATGATCTTTCTCTCTGATATAGGAGTCAAAAGAATAAACGAAAGAGCTGGAGGTGAACCACCGAGCTCTCACAGGAGTCTTGGAAATAGCAGGTACAGTTTTCCCATGAGAAAATGAATAATCCACTCAACCACAATGGCTTTTATGTACAGTCACTGAGCAGGACTCCAGTACTGAAGAAAAAGCATATTGATGCTTGTTTAATATTTGCAGCAGAGCACTTGGATAACCAAATGAAATGCTAGAAGTATAAAGTATAAAGTTGAATTCTTTGGTTGCCGATGCACAGACCATGTTTGGGGGAATATTGAAAGAAAAATGAAAGGAGAAATGTAGATGGGCATCTATGTTAGGAATCTGAAGGTGAAACTAGTGTGAATTTCTAAGCAAGACAATTGGCCCAAACATGCAGCCATTATAAACAAAATAAAACTGACAAATTTCTGTTGGTATGTTCAGTACTGATTCTCTTTGTTCCTCCAATTCAGCACCCGTAATTTCATTTGTGGACTATTACGCTTTGATTTTCCTGCATGTGTGAATTGCTTGAGTTGTTTCAATATTTGATGTGACTAGTATATCATCAGTAACATAAGTAATATGTTTACCATAAAAAAAAAAACTTTGATATTTTGAAACTTTATTTTATACTCTGTGTGTATTTAAGCATACCCTCAGTGACAGATTGTACTTTCTCGTTGCGATCTGATGCGCTGTCTTCTCTGTGAGATTTTGGGGCTGAAGAATGAAGTTCCTTCCTTGGAGACAGGGGGGGGATTTCACCCTGCACACCGTCCCTGCTGCCATTCTAGAAATGAGGGTCAGAATAAGTGGACTGTAATACAATTAGACAACAGTTTGAAGGAGAATAAAACAATTTAAATCATTTTTTTATGTTCAAAAAATATCAATAATAATATTGATAAAATTTAATGGGACTTGTACATGTACACAATACAGGCCTAACAGGCAGGTGGGGTCACTATTGTTTAAACATGTTTACAAGATTGAGAAAACACTGAGACCAGTTGTGTGAACTTGTTGTCTTGTTTGAACTTGTACAATGTAAGAACAATGAAAAATGGTTAGTTTTTTTAGTTAGTTCTAGTTGTTTATTCCTGTCATTTCTGCTGCCTTGTATCAGGACCCTCTCTCAACTCTCTCTGCTACTTGCCTCCCATTTGCATATACATCCTTATCTTCTGCTTCCCATGTTCCTTGTCAAATTTCATGTTAGCCCCCGAGTTCTGCATCACTCATTCATTTTGTGTTACTAATTATTACATTTGTACACAGTAAATGTTCACAAACCAGAAACAACCACAACAGCTTGGCACCTGCTCCTCACCTTGCCACCAGCTTAGGTACTTGACCACATTCTGGTTTGAGATGGCATCCCATTCCTTAACCAGCCAGAAAGGAATGAGAGAGGTTATCTACAGGTCAGGTCTACAGTTAGCCTTTCTACTCCCATATTCTAATAAAGCCTGGTCCATGGGAAAGAGTTCTGACATCTTGGAGTGAGAGTGATTACCATTGGTTGCAGGATCTCATCTTGAGTACATTCCAGATTGTCTCCAAATAGCACAAGCCTTGTTTTTTTCATTGAAGGAGATATTATCTCAAACCATGATAGTAATAGAACCAAAAGCTGTTTTGCTGTTTGGCATTCTTAATCCCATTGATGGTCCACACTTCCAGACCACTTGTCAATTACACCAGGTTCCAGTCCCTCCCTCTGTCTCAGTCATTGTGTATTAGGCAAGACATTTCACCCACCCTGCCTGCTTGTCGCTGGCACCGGTGCATGGTAGCCTCACCTCTGTCAGACTGCCTCAGGATAGTTGTAGCTACTGTCCAGTAGCTTGCCACCATCAGTGTGTGTCTGAATGGGTGCATGTAGTGTGAAGCTCTTTGTGGTCCTCTGGACTTGATAAAGAGCTACACAAGTACAGACCATTTTATCATTTATTGTATATCTATTCTATGTGCTAACAAACAATTTCTGTCTAATTTAGAATCTGTTTGACAACAGAAATATTTTTTTCTATAATTGTAAAAACAATATCAGTCAACGTCCGTACAAACTTGTATTTCCCTTTTCATTAAGTGATAAAACAAATGCTAACTCAGTCACATCACTGTGCATCTGCCTTATATAGTAATGCTGCTTTTGGTAAATAAGGCTAGAGAACATGTGAAACTTTGACCCAGCCTTACACATAGTTATACGAATGCTACTCAGATGTTGCAGCAATGAGACAATGACATTACTTAATGTCCTGTGATGTTCTGCAGACTCTCTGTCACTTCCCCTGTGTCACTTACTCCCTCTCTTTCTCTTTTTCTCTCTCTCTCTCCCCTCACATCTGCAACCCATTAACTCATCAACCTAGGTCTTTTGTGAGGATCTTGAATCTTGATTGAATTGATTGAATATAGGTTTCCATTTGTTCTATTTTTGTAATGATAAGAATTGTCCGTTCTGATTGGTGCGTTACCTGCTCTGTTTCCATTGGCCTGCCATCATGTCTGTGGGCTGTAAGGTGGACCTGCTCTGTTGAGCTGGTGAAGGCAGGAGCAGAGGAGGGGCGAGCAGCTGGGATGGGTGGGGGGAGTTTGGCTGCTAAGGAAGGTTTGGGGGGCAGAGGACCCATGATGCACTCAGGAAGGGCAGGCTTTGGGTAAAGCAGTTCTGGTCGGTTGGAGTCTTGCACTCTCAGAGGATGTCCGGACTCAGCTATAAACAAAAGTTGAAAGTGAAATGATACAGAATCACTGAATGTATAAATGTTTAGCAGCCATTGTGACTGCTAAAGGACAGCAGTAAACCTGCTCAGGATTTTTACCCTGACTCTCCAGCGCAACAAAAAGTCTCCAAACAGAATGAAACTGATTAGACTCTGGCATTTGTACCTCTTGAAGTGGACATTATTCTGGACTTGATGTCTTTGGGAGGTAGTTCTGGTTTGTTTAGGATAGCACCTTAGGGACAGAAACAGAAGACAATGCAACATATGACAAGGTCATCTAAACTAGTGTTTTTCAACCTTTTCTGAGCCAAGGTACATTGTTTTAATTGAAAAAAATCACAAGGCACACCATCAACCAGAAATGTAAACAAAGATACTCTGTAGCCACCTATATTACATATATAGTCATTCTTATCAAAGTGTCTTGAATAGGAATCAAATAAACACAAAAATGTATTTTTATCATATTTTACATTTCTTATTTCAAATTGCACTTAACATGTCCACTTCAAAAATACACCTGAACACCTGAACAGCCACAACACTGTCGTGTGTGATGCATGAATGTAGTAACATTCATGCATCAAACTATCTTGTTTTAATATAAAATGCTCTGTACTTACTGCCATCTAGTGATAATAAAATTACATGATTACTCCGCTAGTCACTACTACAGCAAAGACACTCAAAGATGGCATTATTTGCAGATAATTAATTCGTTTTCAAAAAATCTTTTAAGATCAATTACCGTATTTTCCGGACTATGAGCGCACCATACTATAAACTGTACCTTCAAATTTTTTGAACCCCCCCGGAAACTTACCACGGGCTTTGGGGAGAGGCGGAGGCACAGCGACTGTTTACAAACAGGACTACAGATGTAAGCAGTGTTTTCTACAGACATCATTCCCCAGCTTTGAGTTTACGTCTTTTGAGATGAGACACGTAAACCCAGTTTTCTGTGCTGTCGTTTACCGCCCCCCCAAATATAATAAGGATTTTATAAGCGACTTTTCAGATTTTTTATCTGGGATTTTAACTAATTACGAACATGTTTTTATTGTTGGAGACTTCAATATACACGTGTGCTGTCCTAATAAGCCTCTGGTAAAGGACTTTTTAAGCCTTCTGGACTCTTTTAACCTGGTACAGGCCGTATCCGGCCCTACACATGAACATGGACACACACTGGACCTGGTTATTTCCTGTGGTCTGCCTGTGACTAACCTGGAAATCTGTGACTCTGTTCTCGGATCACCTGCCTGTTTTATTCAGTGTCAGTTTGACACCTACTGCTGTTAAAACTCGTGCTGCTGCTCGGCACTGTCGGATTATTAACCCTTCCACTGCCACTCAGTCCTCTACTGCTTTTCTTCAGCTCTGTGGATCATCTGACTCCCTCTACTCTGATACAGAAGAGCTCTGGTCCTGGTTCTATTCTTCCTCCCAAACCATCCTGGACTCGGTTGCTCCATTAAAAACCAGGCAGCCAAAGATTAAACCTGAGCCTTGGTTTAATGACAGAACTCGTGCTGTCAGGAAGGAATGTCGCCGTGTTGAACGCAGGTGGAAAAAGGATAAATTGCAGGTTACTTTTCAAATTTTAAAAGACTGTTGGCGTCTCTACCAGAGCACAGTTAAAGAGGCAAAAAGGGAATATTTGGCAAATATCATTTTCTCAAACAGCCATAACCCACGTGTTTTATTTAACACCACTGACTCTGTGCTTAATATTCCACAGAATGCCTGTTGGGAAGCTTCTCATGACATGTGTGATAGTTTTCTGTGTTTCTTCCTTGAAAAGGTTGGTAGTACCAGGGCTCTTATCACAGCTTCCTGACTCTGACCCCTCTGTTTGGGTCCCTTGCTCGGCTGCTTTCACTCAGTTTGAGCCTGTGACTGTCTCACTTTTAGAGGACGTGGTTGGCCGTATTAAGCCATCAGGTTCCCCCCGGGATGCTGTGCCTCCACAATTTTTTAAAGATATTTTATCTAGCATAGGGCAGCCTGTTCGTGCAATTATAAATAGCAGTCTGTTCTCAGGTGTGGTCCCTGCTAGTTTTAAACATGCAGTTGTCCAGACACTGCTTAAAAAACCTGGCCTTGATCCTACTGTTCTGGCTAATTATCGGCCTATTTCGAAGCTGCCTTTTCTTTCTAAGGTTTTAGAAAAAACTGTGTACTGTCAGCTGACAGTTTTTAGATGAGAATGGCATTCTGGAGGTTTTTCAGTCAGGTTTTAAAACTCTTCATAGCACAGAATCTGCTTTAATAAGAGTTTTTAATGACATCCTTCTTGCATGTGATTCTGGTAATTATGTTGTTCTGATTTTACTTGACCTAACTGCTGCCTTTGATACAGTAAACCACGACATTTTAATATCACGATTACAGCATATTGTAGGTATTGGTGGCAATGTTCTTAAATGGTTCAGGTCCTACCTGGAGGACAGAACATTTTCAGTGAATATTAGAGATTCTGAATCATCTGCTGCTTCAATGCCTTATGGTGTCCCGCAGGGCTCAATTCTGGGCCCACTGCTTTTCTTTATTTATTTACTGCCTCTGGGTTCTATCCTCAGGAAACATGGGATTTAATTTCATCGTTATGCTGACGATTGCCAGATTTATTTGCCCCTGAAGCAGAAGGATGTCCATTCCATCAAACATCTCTTGGCATGTCTAGGTGATATTAAAGCTTGGTTGGCCTTGAACTTTTTAAACTTTAATGAAAAGAAAACAGAGGTGATGGTGTTTGGACCCAGTGGCTCCTGTGAGTCCTCTGCTGACCTGGAACCCTTGGAGGTATATTTTAAACCTGTTATTACAGATCTTGGTTTTAAGGTGGACAGTGATTGGTCGGCCAAATCAGAGCCGTGGTTAAGTCCAGCTTTTATCATTTAAGGCGATTGGCATCAGTGAAATCTTTTCTTTCCAGGCAGCATTTTGAAACAGTGATCCACGCTTTTATTTCAACTCGATTGGATTACTGTAACTCACTTTATCTGGGAGTCAGTCAGTCGCTGCTCTCACGTCTGCAGCTGGTTCAGAATGCTGCTGCACGACTGTTGACAGGAACTCGAAAGAGGGAACACGTGACCCCTGTCCTGGCCTCACTTCACTGGCTGCCTGTATATTTTAGGATTCATTTTAAAATTCTTATGTTTGTTTTTAAATCACTACATAATCTTGCCCCGGCTTACCTCTCTGAGCTTCTTCACCCTTACATACCCTATTGGTCTCTCAGGTCCGCAGATCAGCTGCTCTTGGAGGTACCGAGACCAAGAAGGAAGCTCAGAGGGGACAGGGCTCTCTCTGTCATGGGCCCCAAATTATGGAACAACTTGCCTTTGCAGGTCAGAGAAGCCCCTTCACCGTCCACTTTTAAAGCTCGTCTTAAAACCCATCTATTTTACTTGGCTTTCAACTCTAGCGGGATCCAGTTTTAAATTGTATGTTTTTGTTTTTAAACTGTAAGTTTTTATTTTATGTTTTTTTTAATTGTTATGTTGTGTTTTGATGTACAGCACTTTGTATCAGCTGTGGTTGTTTTAAAGTGCTTTATAAATAAAGTTGGTATGGTATGGTATCAGCCGCACCGGGCTACAGGCCGCTGGTATCTCTGCCGCTCTCGGTTTCCCATAAGGACCCAGCAGAGGGCAGCAGAGGGCTGCGTCCTAATAGCTGCTGGATATATTAAGGACGCAGTTCTCCGTCTCCAAATCCGGTTTTGTTCACGCCGAGTTTACTTCCAATGATTCACTTCCTGCTAAAGAGCCCCCTGGTGGTTGAAGAAAAATCCACAGAAAAGCCGCATGTTCAAAGTGTAGGAAAAAAGTAGCAGCTTATAGTCCGGAAAATACCGTAGGTGAAATTGGATAATTTCCACAGCACACCTGACGATCACTCACGGTACACTAGTGTGCCGCGGCACAGTGGTTGAAAAACACTGATCTAAACATGACATTGAGAAACAATTCATCTAACCTAAATCTGTAGCTTCTAAGTTACTATCATTCAGTGTTAGCCCACAAGCCACTATATATAATGCTTATGTTGCTTATAAATAAAATCACTCTATTCACAGTCAGACAGCAATAAAGAAGGGTGAACAAATTAAAATAGTACATGAGGCTATTTCAATTTATCTGCTCACAGAAGCTGAAGCTGTCCAGTTTCATCCATGTTGAAAGTAGTGGGATAAGACCTGAAACTTTACACTGTGGAAAGTAAACTAGGTGTACTGACGCACAGTCACAGCTAAAACATGAAACACAGAAGACCCTTAGGATAGATAAAGCAGAGTAATGTGTTAGAATAGCCTAGTCAAAGTCAAGTTCGACATCCAATTCTGAATATGAGGGAAAATTACTGTTCATTAACACTCTCCATCTAAAATTCCCAAACTATTTTGCTATAAGAGACCTGGTCTGAAATAGTGCCGGAGTCAGAGTATCCGATCATTTCGATCAAATAAATAAATAAATAAATAAAATGTTACGGTTCCACTGAAACCCAGCTCGATGTAAACAGGCCTAAATGTCCAATACTGGTAAGAAATGCAGTAAAAGAAAGGTAGCTCAACAAGTAATGACTCCGAAGGGCAGTTTAGTCGGGAGCTCATAGCCAAAGAGAAATCATCTAGATACTATTGTAAACATGCAAAAAGCAGGCAGTGAATTTTTGAAGTGACATTTTTTCTTAAAATATAAATATGTAAAAATACTTTTTTTTCTTTTAACAAAACTGATGCTCCATTTAAATACTTTTATCTTCTGACTATGATTTTCCATCAGAAATGGAATCTGCCAGTAATGTGTAAACTTACCTTCAGAGGTGGCTTTTCTCAGCTCCTCGTCTTTATTCTGTAACAGACACATTAAACAACATCATTTTAACACTAGGACTACTCTACAGAACATTCTCATCAGAACCCTGCAATCTGTAAGATACTAAATTAGGAAAAAGTCTGCTTCTCTCACTGTACAACTGCAGGAGCTGATGAAGGAGCCCTGCTTTTCCACTGTGCACAATTTTAGATGGAGAGTGTTAATTAGCTTAAAGAACTGAACATTCTTTCAAGGCCATGTGAACCAGAAATTTTAATCAAGAAATCTGTGGGTACTCTTCGGGGGTCAAAAATAATCACAGGAACAGTGTAATGAGTGTTTCTTTATAACTTGTGGAACTGACAGCTCTTCTCAACATTTAAATGACAACTTCAGGCCAAATAAACACAAGCATCATGCAAATAAAGTTGTTATAGTCTGACATATAACTGGAAGCTTGAAATAAGAATAACCATTTAATTTAAGCTAAATTAAGGTTTGGGAAAATGTGCATAAAAGAAAAAAAAAAAAAAAACGTGCCAGAGGTTGTGTCCACACTAGGGGTGTGCCATATTGCCTTGTTTATGGTAATACCGGTGACTTTTTTGACCCTGGTGAAAAAATTTATATTGCGATATCAAATGATGATGCCATTTAATCGAGCCTTACCTGTGCAATAACCAAGAGCCCAGACCCTCTGTATGAAGCAAATAGTGTATGACAAAGGGCTGGTTTTTACCAGGCTAGTCCTTCCCTTATTGTAGATATCAACAAGATTCAGTCCAGTTCAGACTGTGGACCAGATAACCAGCTGACTAACTTCTTCTTTGTTTTAATGCAATATTAATTTTTTCACCAGTGTCAAAAAATCTAATGGTATTCCCGTAAATAAGATGATATGGCATACTCCTAGTCTACACACACACGCACACACACACACACACACACACACACACACACACACACACACACACACACACACACACACACACACACACACACACACACACACACTCCTACCCTGTCTACCTGGCACATCTTGGTTTCAGCAGGTGGAGTTTTGGACACTCCCATTCTGTGCAGCATCACCTGAAGCCTCTGTTCAAAGCCAGGTGCACCATCAGATGCATGTTTCTGAAAAGCGGAGAGCACAAATATGTTCATATAAATGTTATTGCACAAAAGCATCACATGCACCAAACCGGCAACACACTGCAGAGGTGCTTAAAATGTAGCATCTGACTTAAGTAGATTCACTGCGTAAAGCCAACACATGTTTAGATGTTCTTGCACTTCTTATTTGCTGCACATCATTGAGATCCCCTCTAGCTCTGCAGTATAAAGTAGAGTAGAACGTAGGGTTAACATTGGAGAAAAATGAAGTAATTGAGAATGTGAAAAGAAAGCTAATTATCATCAAGCCTAGTTTGGTTTTAAGAAATCTAAATGAAGTACAGTCAAGCCAAGTTTAACTAATCCTTGCCAAGTGCATGCTCACCTCCCTTGGTAGACCACATGGTTGATCACAGATTCCCTGATGCTAACAGTGAGCTTCTTACCTCACTTTATTGCACTTAAGTTAAATAATAGTGGAAGTTTCTGGAGCCTTGCAACCCTAATGAGTATGAAACTGTTTACAAGCCAGATTTAATCTGCCACGTGGAACTGAACACAACTAAAACATCTTGGACATGCACACACTAACAGGCTCCTGGCTGCAGTATTGCTGCAGCAATAAAATAGATAAATTCATGAAAAATATTCATTGATGTCCAAGTTAAAGGGTGAAATTCCACTTCAACATCATTTTCACTGATTTAAATTACCCTTGTTTTTTTTTTTTTTTTAACCAGTGTTGTGCGTCTGTTATAATGTGAACCATCATCTTTGTACTCCAATAAATATTCATGACATTGGTGACCTTAGTGTATTGTCAGACTGACCTTATTGGGTGTATTATCCTTGTCATCTGGCTCTATTCCTGTCAGCAGTATGAGACTCTGGCTCTTGTTTTCTCTCAGTCTTTTGGTCACCTTGTGTCTCCTCTCCACATATGATGGAGCTTCTGGCTCAGGTGGTGTTGTAATGACTGCAGGAGTGGTGCTGAGGTGTGGTAGTACAGGAACTGCTGCTTGCTCCGGTTCAGAAAGCACAAAGGTGGTGAGTTTGGGGTTTGTTGTTATGGTGGGGTAGAAAGGAGTCATCTCACTGGATTGTGTTGTGCTTAATGACTCAGGGGGGGTTACCGTTTCCCTCACAACGTCTGCAAGATAGCGACCGGGGGCGGCAGTTCCTTCTGTAGTAGTGGCATCATTATAAATGTTAGCATCCTCCTCTGTCTCCTTCTCTCTTTCCTTCTCCCTCTCCTTGTCTCTGTCCCTGTCTTTGGCCTCTCGGAGGGGTCGAATGAGATCTGCAATGGAGGTCCTTTTGACCTTGACCCCTTCAGCTCCATGTCCTCCATCTCCACTGCCTGTCTTGGCAGCTCGGCCTGCTCGAGCCCTCTTGAAGGCGAAGAAGTCACCAAACTTTTTCTTTATATTTTTTGTAGGAATTGTGGTGGTGGAGGAACAAGTTGTGGATGGGAAGGTGGTAGATGAGGAAAGGGAGTGAACATTAATGGATGGAAGGGAGGTATCAGTAGATGTGGCAGAGGGAGAGATGATGGGAGTGGTGGTAGATGGAGTGATGTCAGACAGAGTGGAAAAAGGGGTGGAACTTGGCACTGTGGGAAGGATTTGGGCAGGGTTTGACTCCTCCCATCGGCCTTTTCTGCAGTGGGGAGACAGCAGAAAGAGCAACAGAAGAAAGGAGACACTCAGTACTACAACTACTGGTTCAAGAACCAAGTAACATGCTCTACTCCGGTTCACAAAACTAATACTCATGCAAATGGCAGACAAAGCAAAATCAACTCTCAGAGATCAGAATGTTTTGTCTCAGGAGAAGGAAGACTTGTAGTGTGTCACGTCTAGAAGCCACACAGCAGATTGGCCATTTGGACCAATTAGTTATTGCTCTTGGTATCACATGTAAGAAGTTTAAATTTACCTGCTTTCTTGAATAAAACCAACTGTGCATGACTACAGCATGTACACATTAGCTGTGAGCACTGCCATATCATGATTTCATGATGCATGAAATCATGACACTACATTTAGTAAGTTTTAAAAAACTAGAATCCTTTAACACAGGGACATTCACATCACAAACATCAAATGTGATCAATGACTGAAATCAATGACAAACTCCTCTGAGAGGAGATTAGAGGGTAGTGACCAGGGGTTAGGGGATGACAGGAGGACAATGGAGGACATTCAGATCAACAGAAGGGGAGCTAATCAACAAGCAGCCACCTGTCTTATGTTCACTTCAAACATCCTTCCGGGTCATGACAATAATATCCACATTCAGAAACCCTAAATATCCCACTGAGGAACTTGCTTAGCCATTTTGGAATGAACCATGCAAACATCATTATCACAGTTGGAGCATCAACTAGAAATGATCAACTAATTGACTGCATTCACACTTAAAAACTACAGATAAGTCCGATATATGTTATACTGAATAATGAGTATGACTCCTTTATATCAAAGTCAAAGTCACATATTTATTGAATTTAGGGTGGTTGCAACTTTTGACCCACATTCCACAAAAGAACAATTTAAAACAACCCATATGTTTTTCTTGTAGATAAGTACATCCTTTGTTGTCTTTCTTGCCCTTTGTCAAAAGTCTTGGACAGACTATATGTGCAGTTGCACTTACACTCTCCTACTGCCCATGCCAAGAAACCGATGCCCCTTGTGGCAACATGAGTTTAAAGTCCTCAATAGGAGACAGTTCTAGTGCAAGTTAATTTGAGTCTGGGCAAAAATTTGCCCAAAGAGGCAAATAACCTATCTGCATGAAATAAAAATTCACCTTGTCTCTACATAGTGTTCTAGAATGAAACAAAAATGGTAAGTAAAGCCACAAAGTTATCAAAACAGTATTTATGTCACAGCAAAAACTCTGCAATAGTTAACTCTGCAACTAACTACTAATAACTAATAACTCTGCAACTCTGCAAACTGCACTCCTGAAATAAAGTGCCCCTCCTTTGTGTTTAATGCAGAGTTTCAGAGTTGGGAAAGTACCTGAACATAGAGAGGCATTGCTTGTATCCATTATTGTCATATACAACAAATATAAATATGTCATTATGCTTTCTTATACAATGTTAATGAAGGAATTCTACAGAGTTGCTTTTAAAATGCAATCATGCAAATACACAAAGTTTGATATTGTAAACAAATGCAACTGAGTTTAAAAAAAGGGGGCTCATTAGTTCTAAAATGCATCAGAATGCTTAAACTGAAAACAATTCAGATAGTTTGGTCCATGTGCTAAAAACCTGAGCAAGTAGCTAATAGGTAAAGATTGGAAAGTCAACATTTCTCCCACTTCACCAACAACTTCTGTTTAGAGCTCTATCACTGTCTCTCAACTCAGTCACCCACCATGATTAATAGTTTCAAAGTAACAAGATGTGGAAAAATACATGTCAAAAATAGGACATTCCCATTAAATGTTCAGGTCTTCAAAAAAAATCATATATCAATATCTATTCTACTTTTATTTATCTCTGAGGAAGAAAGTGATTAATTACAGGTGCACATTAAAACAAATCTTGTATTACTCACTAAAAAAAGATTACTACGAAAATGTGTCTCTCTAAACTGAGAAGTTAGGACACCCTGCACTCTAAATTGCTCGTCTTTCCCCTTTTTGCTTAAGACAACCATCTACCAGTCTCTCATACACTGCATACATAATTGCTGCGCAAGTTTTAGTTTTGACCATATCATCATTTTTATGCACATTCTCCAACTCCAAGCTGTATAAACTCGAATGCTTACTGGATGTAACCATATTAGCTGATGTGTATTTGTTTAATGAGGGAGGGGCCTACAGAAATAAACTTCCTGTATGAAGGTGTGCATAATTATGAGGCAACTTTTTTTCTTCTTGCTATGCCACTTGTTTTAGAATTTAACACTTCTTTTGTAACACACTGTTGCTTTAACTGATATAGTAACATTGTGTGTTTTCTGCTGTTGTATAATAACTCACAATGCACAGTCAGGAATGATTTTCTTGGCGAAAAACTCTTCCACTCCCTCATCCACTCTGCCCATTGCCTCATTATCTTCCTTCTTTTCCTCGGACACTGGTTCCTGTGAAGAAAAAACATCATATAAACAGCGGCAAAAATCTGTGTGGTCAGTATTGAAGTACCATTCTAAAGATTAAATCAGTGACCAGCCTCCTAGCATTTAGTTCTAGTCACAATGTCTGATGTGATTCCCATTATATAGTTTGTGGTAATAAACCGCCTACTTGCATTTCTGAATGTTTACATCTCAATATGTCATTGGTACATTTAGTTCTGTGTCACACTTATTGCTAAACATACGCTTAGTGTTTGAATGCATAAGATACAGAGAAATACATTCTTACTGCTTTGTATTTCTACCAGGACTTAGCCTGATATGTGAGCACAACATTGTTTTTTTTTAACTTGATCACAATTAATTTGCTTATAATTGCATTCCCAACTTTGGAGGGAAATGTAATGCAGCAAAGATTTCTGGAACAGTGTATTTTAAATATGCCATTTACTAGGCAGTAGCCAAGAGTAACAGCTGTGCTTTAACTGGGGGTGTTGTAGAGCTCTGTGATGTCCCCACCACAGGCCACTAAAAACACTCAAGTAAATTAAGTGACTAAAATATATACCAGTGTTTGAATGATCAAAATGCTACTATTTGTCATGTTTTCAGGTTCACAAAGTTCTAAGATTTGGGGGTATTTCCATTTTTCTTTATTGTCTAATGAAATGACTTTGCTTCTGTTTTGTTTCATGCCTCCTGTCTGACAGCCACCTGTCTCTCTGCGCCTCATGCCAACATGCGTTTTGGTCACACCACTGCGGCTCTGCATTTCATTGTCTCTCACACATATAATCCCATGAATAAATTTGATAACCTATGAGATATCTATATATAAATTTAAGAATACTTATTATCAATATTATCAACTTCGAGAAATGCAAGTGATGACTGAGCTTCTCACCCTATCACTAAGGGAGATCCCAGACACCCTACAGAGAAAACTCATTTTGGTAGCTTGCATCCATGACTTTTGGTCAAGGATTCTGTTGATCATGATGACCCAAAGCTCATGACCATAGATGAGGGTAGAAAGGGTAGGAACGTAGATTGACCCGTAAATTAAGAGCTTCGCTTTTTGACTCAGTTCTCTCCTTCAAACGACAGACCGGTACAGTGCCCACTTCATTACAGACGCTGCACCAATTCGCCTGTCAATCTCCCGCTCCATTTTTCCCTCATTCCTGAATAAGATCACGACATACTTAAACTCCTCCTCTTGGGGCAGGACATCCTCCTCGACCCAGAGAAGGCCCTCTACCCTTATCCAGCTCAAGATCATGGCCTCAGCTTTGTAGGCACAGATCCTCGTCCCAGCTGCTTCACACTTAGCTGCAGTCCGTTTCAGTCAGAGCTGTAGATCACGACCCGATGAAGCCAGTAGGACCACATCATCCACAAAAAGAAGAGACGCAATCCTAAGGCCACCAAAACCAATCCTCTCAACAATTTAGCTGCGCCTAGAAATTATATCCATAAAACTAATGAACAGAATTGGTGACTAAGGGCACCCCATACCTGGCCACCGAGGAGCTCTTTAACCACCTCAGTGACCTCATCGCCAGAGATTGGAGTACTCGATCCAGAGTCCCCAGGCTCCGCTTCTCAATGGAAGGCATGTTGGTGGGATTGAGGAGGTCTTGGAAGTATTCTGCCCACTGGCCCACAACATCCCAAGTAAAAGGTCAGCAGCACACCATCCTCACAATAAACAGTGTTGGTGATCTACTGCTTCCCCCTCCTGAGATGCCGGATAGTGGACCAGAGTTCCCCTAAGCTGTGTGGAAGTCTTTCTCCATGGTCTCTCTGAACTCCTCCCATGCACAAGTTTCTGCCTCAACAACTACCCGAGCCGCATGCTATTTGGACTGCCAGTACCCATCAAATGCTTCCCACTCCTACTTGGTGCCTCTCACCAGGGGCAACTCCAGAGTAAAAGAGTGCCCAACCCCTCTCAAGGAGACCGTTTCCAAAATTAGAGCCATGCATTGAAGTGAGACCGACAATTTCTAGCTTGAACCTTTCAACCTCACACACCAGCTCAGACTCTTTCCCCACCAGAGAGGTGACATTCTATGACCCAGCAGCCAGAGCTTCTTTAGCCAAAGATCGGATTGCCAAGGTTCCCGCCTTCAGTTGCGACCCAGGGAGTGGTCATTGCATCTGATCTGATTCAAATAGTAAACTTATCCCTGTCATCAGGTGTTTTCCCCCCAGGCTTTAAAACCAGCAGTTATCAAACCAGTGATAAAAAAAAGAGCAATCTGGACAAATCACTACTGCACAACTACAGGCCGATCTCTACCCTCCCATTTATCAGAAAAATTACTGAAAAAGCTGTTTGACAGACAAATAGTTTCTAAATAATCGACAACCGCTTTGACATCTTCCAATCAGGTTTCTATGATTACTACAGTACGGAGACTGCCCTCAAAGCGTTCAATGACATTCACATAAATACAGACTGTGAAAGCATCACAGTTTTGGTTCTGTTGGAACTTAGTGTAGGTTTTAACACTGTTGACTATAACATTATTAAAGCAACTGGAGAGCTGGGTTGGACTTTTAGGTCCGGTACCCCACTGGTTCAAATCTTACGTAAAGAAAAGGATTTCAGTAAGTAACTTCTCATCGGTACAGAAAGGAGTCATATTTGGAATACCAAATATGACTAAGGGCAATGGTAGGACCCCTCCTATTTAATATCAACATGATCCCATTAGCTCAGGCCATAACAAGTAATAAAATTAGCTATTATATCTTAGCAGAGGATACACAGCTCTACATCACGATGTCTTCAGGCAGGGCCGGCCCAAGGCATAAGCAAACTAAGCAGCCGCTTAGGGCTCCAGGGCTACTAAGGGGCCCCCTCAGTAGAGTTGATTTATTATTATTATTATTATTATTATTAGTAATAATTTCTGTCATTATAATATCAAAAACACACAATTTCACTATGAACTGATTTGTTTTTACAATAATATATATTTGATAATGTATGTAGACATCATTATTTTATGGATAAAAAGAAAAAGGAAAATTGCTCTTGGGGGACCCTGGTGGCCGCGGCAGGTACCGCACGCTTCGCCAGTAACATGAGCTGCCGAGCAATGTGCAGAGCGCATCCAAACGTCCAAAGCTCCGGTCAGAAGTTAAGTAAGCAAAAACAATGTCTCAAAAAAGGACTTATCCTTCAGGGAGGGAGAAAAGAAAGAGGAAGAATAGAAAAAAGCCAAGATAAAGGTTTGTTTTAATGTGCCTTGGTAATATAATAAAAAAGATTTGTAAAGCTGGTAACAGAAAATTAGCTTGATAGCAACCTGGAACGGTCCAGTTTGTGCTAGGGTCTTTGTGTTTGTGTGAAACTGAGTTTAAACTTTAAATGAGTTTATTCTCATGGTTGGCTCTGTATATATGGAGTTAGGTTTGTTTCACGATTATTCAATCAAAAAAAAAAAATCACGTCAAACAAAAAAAGTAGTATTCAATCAAAAAAAAAAAAAAACATGTCAAACAAAACATTGAGTTGTGATCAAAACTTTTGAATTTTCAAAAAAAAAATGTTTCAAACAAAAAATATTTCAATCAAATTGTAAGAATTATGTTTTTAAAAACAACAAAAAATGCTTTAAAAACTTTGTTTTTTAGTTGAAATCACTAATTTTTGTTTGAAACTTATTTTTGCATATCAGAATTTAGATATTTAAATTCAGGACTATGGATAGGAGGTAAGAGGCCAAAACAAGGTGGCTTGGTTACATTCTGGGAAAAACAGAGTCAGGAAAAATCCCTCAGAGGTCATAAAGTCTTACCTTTTCTGTTTCAAACAAACAATCCATCACAGTCGACTGTGTGCTACAACTACAACTGGGTTGATTTTAAGCAGCCTAAGTTTTTGGTTGAGATTGTAAGTTTTTTTTTGATGCTCCAGTTTTTTGGTTGAACTCAACTTTATTTGGTTGCGGATCTCACATGAACATCCTGGGCGGGGCTTAAGGACGAGTAATGTAAGACGTGCTCCGATTGGTTAGCGCTGACTAAAGCCGACTTCCTGAGATCTCAGAACCATACTATGCTCAGAACACGAAGCTGAAGGTGTTACTCCAATTTCTCTCAGTTTATGAGAAACTGGAGAGCAACAGGCAGCTCAGAGTCCCAAATGCACAACCTAACGGTGAAACACCATTACTGCACCCATCATCTTTAATCCCTGTTAAAAAATAAAATATCTTCTTATCATAACCCCATAAACATTTAAAGAAATGTTTTTTCACTTTTGTGGGCACACACCAGTGGGCATCACAAGAGGTTTGACTGATAGACCGGCCCACCAGGTCATGTAGTTGTTCCATTGACACTTTGCCCTATGCCTGTTGGTGGAAAAGATCCTTTGGAGATTGATTTACAAGTCTAGTAATAGATCTAGCTATGCGGCTTACAAAAGGAAGCACACCAAACCTGTCCAGAGAAAGCTTGGTCCAAAAATCTGGAAAGAACTCAAAGACATCGATTTTGTGTTTTTTGAAAAAATGGAGAAAAAACTCTGCCGAGATATCTTGCAACTTCTCTGTGGCAATGAAGATGTGGTTAGAGACGTGCTCTTCAAGATGATCAAAAGCGACAACTCAATTGTGATTTACAAGGTTGTAGAGTGCTTTAGAAGATCCCTGGCATGACCGCGGAAAATCAATCTCCAAGACACCTTTCTTCAAAAGGCATGGGGGCTCATCAAAAAGGCTATGTGTTGTGGAGACGATTCAGACGAAGAAGAGAGGCAAGAACCCACCAAGAGTGGACCAAACGTTGTGTTAGTCCACGCTTAACTGGGCCTCTAAATTTGGTCGACTCAGAGGTCGGTACTGACTCGGAGGAGTCAGGGCCGGACTCTGAGTCAGGACCTGCCTCAGAGTTAGGACCTGCATCCAAGTTAGGACCTGTCTCAGAGTTAGGACCCGTCTCTGAGTCAGGACCTGCCTCGAGTCTGGACAGATGTCTGAGTCAGAATCTGTCTCCGAGTCAGGACCTGTCTCCGAGTCAGGACCTGTCTCAGTGTTAGGACCTGCCTCAGAGTCGGGACCTG